GGTCCGGGGCTGTTTTGCTGCTTCAGGACCTGGAAGACTTGCTGTGATAAATGGAACCATGAATTCTGCTGTCTACCAAAAAATCCTGCAGGATAATGTGCGGCCATCTGTTCGTGACCTCAAGCTGAAGCGAACTTGGGTTCTGTAGCCGGACAATGATCCAAAACACACCAGCAAGTCCACCTCTGAATGGCTGAAGAAAAACAAAATGAAGACTTTGGAGTGGCCTAGTGTCAGGAAGCAGGGGGTGTTACCTCTACTCGGGGACCACGGGCACGGTGCAGGGCACGGGTTCCCCTTCAGCTCGGTAGAACACCTGGTGCCCGAGGAGTCACGCAGCGTGTGCGCATGCGCAGTACACAGGCTGCGCGCGCATCCACGGGAGCATAGCGTTCTTGCGTCATCTGGCTATCAGGTGTGAGCCTTGCTGGGGGAGGTTCCCAGTACACACCTTCCATCTTCCTTGCCTGCCATTGGTGCCTCCTGGTTGCCTCGGTGACCAGGGGGTGGTCCTACCTCCCCTGGCTATAAAAACCTGGCCTGAGCTCTGGCTTATTGCTGAGTTATTCCACATTATGGTGAACACCTAGCCTCCCTGCTGATCCTCCTATTGCCTGTTGGCCCTTTGTATCCTTCCCGATTACTGACCCTTGGACTGTCTTCCGCCTTTGAACCTTCGCTGCCAGCCTCGACCCGGATTGGACATTGACTACCCCTCTTGGATTATCCCTAAATTTGTACCGCGTTTCTGGACTGTCAGCTGCTTACTGCCAGTGGGACTGGGAGAGGAAGGAGCACCCATTGTAGCAGCCATGAGGTGGGGTGGAGACTTGTATATGTTACTGACCTTCAGCAGAGAAAAATCAGGTCTCCAACCTTGGCATACGGGGCTGTGTGAATCTGAGAACTGCAGGGACAGAAATACAAATACTTAGGCAGGTAATACATCTCCCTTTTTTTATATTTTAGCTGTTTGGTTGGAGCTCAGCTAAAGGCCCTGAACATTCCACAAGAGCCTATTGATATGAATGAGCTGCCATCCTGAAATCAAATCTGCACCATTTTTGCCAACACAAATTATGAGTATATCTCCTTCGCACACCACACCGCTTTATGAAAAGATTGCAATATTTTCTGATATGCTGCAAGAATGTCAATAAAGACAAACTTGTGAAGCTTGTGTGCTGACAACATATTTTCCTGACTTTTGCCAACGCGCCACAACACACTGTAGTGCAATACCATGTTTTGTGGTGTGTTGCAGGGTATACACTGAGTGGCCAGATTATTATGACCACCTGACGTTTGTAGGCAAATTAGCTATAATTTCGCGCTGAAGTTGCTAGAGGGCCAGACCATTATAAATAGGGAAGTTGGTGGAGAGATCCGTGACAGCAGGAGAACCAGCCCAGCATGCACTGCACTATAGAAGGACGTCACCGGACTCCTCCCCCCTTCCCTTCGTTAGCCTACGGAGCCACTCGGGGAATGGGGGAGGAGTCCGGTGACGTCACGGACATCCCGGAAGCCGGCGGAGAGGTGAGTAACGATCCAAAAAATTTTTATTGATCAAAAAAATTAACGATTAATCGAGGAATTAATCGTTAATTTCCGCAGCCCTACTTTACTTTAGTAAGTAAACTATGCATGTAAAAAATTGCACCAACTCCAGAAGAAAGCAAAACACTCTTAAAATCAACAATGTTGTCTTGCATGTACAACCACATTAATACCCTATGGGTTAACCCTGTCTTCACCATCCAACATTGATACTGTGTCACCATGAAACAAGTTGCCCCTCAATTACATGGAGGCTCAATTCCCATTGATGTGTTCCCTTCACTGATTTGAAGCCAATCTATGATGGGCGTTATTTGCAAAGAAAACTGATAGACGGGGTTGAAGACTGCCTGTCTTCGTATTATAAACCCAGTTCATCAAGAGATAACCATATCTCGGTTTTCTGTCAGATAGCAATATCTCGGCTTACAGTTATTTATCCATCATGGATTATAGATGTGAGTGTAAAGGGGACCTAGTGGGTAATTTCTCATTCCCTTTATAGATGTTTAGCCGAGATACAGTACATGGATAGAATATAGTCAGTAGTACCATACAACATTTCACCCAGATGGGTCTTCCATCGTTGATTTATTCCGTCTATGTAGGATGTCAAATCTGCTCACATTCAAGAATAACTATCACGGTTTCACGTATTTGGATCAAAAGATCTATTCAACATTGCTCAGATAGAGATTGTAATTGCAACTATGTATAACTCACGATCTTCCCGGATTGGTTATCGAGGAGCCGGCTCATGGTCACTGCACGTAATCCCAAGTATCCAGTTTGGGTTTCTTTTCCCGGAAAGATTTCCTTTCAAGTATAACGATCTAGTTTGAGGGCTGCACAGTGGGTACTAACCAGTTTTCCCCTTGGTTGGAACATCAAATGGTAGAAGAGTTGTTAGTTCATGGTTTGTAATCAGTTTAAGAGGACATGCTGAAATAATGTCTGCATGATCCTCGGTGGTTCAGGGTAGTCCACGCACACACGGAAACGCCGACGCTTTTCGCCCCTCCTCCTGGGGCTTCGTCAGGACGTAGTCATGAGGTAATGGTGTGATCATTTTATAGGAAGTTCAATTTATTCATCCATTAACCCCCTCCAGTTTAAAACCGGCATTTTTTTTTTTTTTGCAGTATGGGTGGTTTGCACATAGATCTTTGTTTCCCTCCCAGTCACTCCAGGTATAAATATAATGGCATACACATTTGCTCATACCATTTGTTTATCTGTTACAGCTGGACATAGAGATTTATCACATTACTTTATCGGTGATATCTTAGTACAGATAGAGTGGCCCAAGTAATTTAAGTCTATCAAGGACCAAATCATGTGTGAAAAAGGAAAAGACAAGGAAAGAACAAGGAAAAAACAAACAAGAAGGGCAAAGGAATGGGGGTTTCCTAGGGTTCCAATGGTTATGTATGTGTTTATAGAAAAACTTGTAAATTAAACTCTGTATTTAGTCCTTTAGGGTTTAGTGTGTCTAGCCTATACATCCACATTTTTTGTTTGAGGATTCTGTCAAAATCCCCCCTTCTAGCTGAGAGGTTTAGGACATAGATCCCTTTTACTTTTAAACTCTCTGGGTTGCCACTGTGGTATCTGTCAAAATGTTGGGCGATGGGACTATCCATATGTGCTGTTTTTTTTATGGAAGTCCCTTATGTCCCTCAGACTTTACCATGCTTAGGTGGACCCCACAATCACCAGATCTCAATCCAATTGAGCATTTGTGGGACAAAGTGGAAAGAGCCATCAGGCAGCTGGTTCCAGAACCATCAAATCTCACAGAACTGGACAGTGCTATTCATCAGGCATGGTGTCAGATTCCTTGCATCACCTTTCAACATCTTGTGGAGTCAATGCCAAGAAGAATCGCCGCAAGGCAAAGGGTGGCCCAACGAAGTACTGATGGGGTGGTCATAATAATCTGGCCACTCAGTGTATTTCTCTAGTGCATTTGGGTGCCCTTGAAAATGATTGGCACTGCAATATGGGCTGTGCTTTGCAAAAAAACACAATAAAAATTGAGCCTTACCACAATGCATAGGTGTGTAGCTGGTCTTAAATTGTAATTTTCTGGTACAAGCGTGGGTCCCTTTTCCTGTCAAACCTACCCCTCCCTAATGTAGCAAGAGGCCATGCAGCCTTGTTGACTTCCACACAGTCTCTTGTCACATACTTTACTGTTGGACCATTACATGCACACTGCTGTCCCTAATCATGTCAATGAGGACACAGACAGCAAAGAAAAACACCCCAACAGAGGTTTTAACCCTAAAGCTGCCCATACACCTTACAACCATTGCAAGACTTTTGTCTTGCGATGGTTGTAAGGTAATTATAAAAACGTACGATCTGCCCATCTTGGACAGGCAGATCGTACTTGCGATAATCGCAAGCCCACCCCGCTGAGTAACAGTCTCCCTGATGACCGCAATGCTGAACGGGTAGTGTGCGCTTGCGCACACCGGCCCGTGCGGCATTTATCTTACGAGCACGCCACAAACCAGCCAAAAATCGTTCGATGTTCGAACATGCTCGTGAGACGAAAGTCGTGCGACTGTACAGTAGAAGTGGTCGCACGCCTTCCATACGCCTTGTGATTATCGTATGATATGGATTTTTTCGCGATTATCGTACGATAATCGCAAGGTTTATTGGCACCTTTACCCATTCTATACACACACCAAAAAATATTAATAATTACATTGGTAGTTCAATCTCAATTAGGTCATATATGTATGGTCAATTTCTGACCATACATATATGATCCAAATAATATACCTTCCAGTTGTTGCACTTTCCTCTACCGGTGTCCTCTCTTATTTCTGAAGCACAACTCTTTATGAATAAACTGCTACTTAATTTTAAATGATTTGAGGATCTACAGCCGAGTGATGCACAAATAAGATACATTTGAATTAATAGTTGAGGTACTTGAATGCATTTCTATGATTTAACTCCTGTGTAATGTAGTGTCATTTTAAATTCTTACCAGCTCTCCATGCCCTCAAATCCTGCTCCATTTAAGATTAAGCCTCTGCTGAAGTGTGAAGAGAGACACTTCCAGAACACTTTAAACAAACCATATTCAGATTATCTGTTAGGGCTACACAATTACCATGCCATAGAAGGCCACCCTAAATAATTTATTAAAATTATATCAAAACATGAATACCCTCATACTATATAGTTGCTGGAACATTTTTGGGGGTCTGACATCAAATACAGATTTTGTGTACAAACGTTCAAATTCTATGACTAAGTGCTTTAGGTAAAATCTAATCTGTACCAAAAATTACAGGTCTGAGAAAGAAAAACTGCTTCTTAGTATTCCCCCTTTAATCACACAAAAAACAAAAGTGCATAACATGTTTAATGCAGATTATATTTTTGATTTGAGCTGCATCAGTTCATCATACACAGGTCTAATATGTAGCTTCATCCATATTTTCATCACTGTTCCCAAAATCATCTCCGTCTTCAAAATAAGAGGCAATGTAGTCATTTTCCTAGAAGAAGTGAAAAAGGGCTTTAAAACGGGAACAGTTTCCAGGTGTTCAGTGTAGTCATTCCAGGAAAAGATGGTTGGTCCACACAGTATAATGCCAAAAACAGGTGATTTATAATCCAAATAGCAAGGAACACAACATTGTCAGTCACAAAAGGTCTGGATGCAGAATGAAAATAGTTTGATCACATGGAGGATCCACCTTTCTTTTCCTTTATGTTGGAATTAGCTGTTGGCAGCATACTGTTGGTGGATACAGAACGGATACCCTAGTGGCAGCAGATGCTTTTCTATAGCTATGTTAATGGAGTTTGCATATTACAGTTTGCCTAATTAAAGGTTTAGGGGCCCATTCTCACTTTGCAGTTCTGATGTGTTGCATTAAGGAATGTTTTGTCATGTTTTGCGCTAACGTTAGGCAGCTCATTCAAATGAATGCACCAAAATGGACAAAAAAAACCCCTAGACACGCAGCATTTTTTCCAATACAGCACCCCACAACGCACAGTAATGCGTTACTATGTGCTGTGATGGGCTGCAACATGTGTGACGTGGTATGCTGCACTTAGTGCATTTAGATAACTTTCAAAATGAATGGCACTGCACTAATGCATGTAACATGCATTGTGGTAGCATATGGGTTATCACAACCCACTGGAATGAATAAGTGTAAATGGGCCCTTTGTGTTTAATGGACAAATCACCTTTTTACCCATCTAGTGCCTTATGTCACACAAAAAAAGATCAAAAGGGAGCAGGAACTAATTACTACATTTGCCTTGAAACTTTGAGATCTTGGGATCAGTTCAACTGGACACAGTTTGCATGTCTCGCCTATATATTCAAGCATTTCCCTCCACATTTAAAATTTATACAGGCTGGATAATGATTCCTCACATCACCTACCAAATGATTACATAACAAGTTGCTTAGTTACCAAGACACCCCTAACAAGACAGCGGGTGCACAAGCATTGTCAAAGCACTGTGAATGCCATATTGCTTCCCACCAGATCTTCTCACTGGGCTTCTAGTTGAGTAGATTCTATGGAAGCAGGCTACCCCCTTGAAAGCCCATTTCTTCTCAAAGACATCAGGCACACAGGTACCGTTAGGTATGTCAACTTGCCTGTCTGTATACGATTAAATATTATCATGTCAGTCAGGGTTAGGGTTAAGTGTATGACTTTAGATTCCCTGTAGAGATGGATTTTAAATTGGTGAACTAAAAAAAAAGTGGTCTATTGTCCATCTGAAAACTAAGGAAAGTATTCTGCAAGGTAACAAAAAGAAGATAGCAATCCTGACCACATACTGAGAGTGATGTCTACTGTTTGGCGCTCAGTGAAAGAAGATGCATATTTTGTATAGTTTTCAATGCAGACAATGTATTATCTTCCATTCTAACTGGACTGCTCTTAACAGTATATTCATTTTATAAGGAGCTACAGAAATTTGAAGAGGTTTGCACTGTAAGAAGACAAAGCTTGGTGATGTGGCATATTTTACTTCCTAACCAGTCTTGGTAAGCCTAGTCAATAGGGTAGATATAGAACACAGAAAGATTTGGAAATGAATGTTTCCTAATTTAAATGCCTATAGTCATTACCCGGACTACTTGGTCTTCGAAGAACCCATTTCTCAGAACAGAAAGCCCCTGTAAAAAATTTGCCTGTGCTGCAAAAAAAAAAAAAGGGCTGCTGTGGCATACCATAGCGGCTGGTCATGGGACCAAATGGCTAGGCATTAGTCACATGATCACAGTTAAAAGTGCTAATAGGCTTAGGCTGGGTTCACACCTGGGCGTATGGAATATGCGCGTATGCCGCGCTTTTTTACAGCGATTTGCGGTAAAAGAAACGCGCGACAAACGCGCATTTCCGAGGGCTGTCCGGCTGTATCCTAATGGATACGCGTGGCAAATACGCCCCAAAGACGTTTCTGTACTTCTTTGGGCGCAGGGCGTTTTTCAGCACGTTTCTACGTGCTGTAAAACGCCCAGGTGGGAACCATGCCCATAGGCAATAATTGGTTTTCACATGTTGAGCGTTTTACAGCGCCTAGGAATGCGATGTAAAACGCCCAGGTGTGAACCAGGCCTTAGGGTATTGACAATCATGCAGGGATGATCAATCAGTGTCTCTGACTGCCATTCCCCCGTCAACTGATATCACAAACCCAAGTATGTAGGCATTTGTCAGGTGATCTCGGCTGAGAGGAGTGATCCTTAATGAACAGCTTTATTTGTTAGATTAATTAAAGTGAAAAAATATACATTACTTCTTCAATTTCCTCCTCCTCTTCAATTTCCACCTCAGCTTCCTCGTCTTCTTCCTCACCACTACCTTTTTTCTTCTCACCTTCTTCATCCGATTTTTCTCCATCACCTTTTTTCTCTAGTTCCTGTTATCAATAATTTTAGACACCAGAAAGACAATCAAGTAAAATGTAATGGAAACCTATACTGAGCAAATACTAGTTACCTGGCACATGCTGATTAGACAAGAAGGCCGGCAAAAAAAATAGTTTTGCTTCATTTCATTTTGGATGTTTTGTTTTTCAGGATTCGAGTCTGAAAATCAAAATCGTTTCGGCGTTCGGATGAATCTGAATTTTTGTAAATTTTGGATGAGTTAAATGATAATTACGAATGAAAATGAATTGTAGAAAAGTGACATTAAATGTTTACTGTTTCTTTTTAACCACTTGCTGACTGGGGTGTAAAACCCCCTTCATGGCCTGGCCATTTTTCAGTATTCAGCAGTTCTTTGACTGATGTTTATTCCGTCATGCAACGCTGTACTGAAACAAATTGTATACCATTTTTTTGGGGACAGATAGAGTTTTCTTTTGGTGGTATTTAATCACCACTTTTTTTTTTTACTATAAAACAAAAAAAAAGTACCCTAAAGTTTGCAAAAAAACTTTCTCTTTAAAATGTTATGAAACATTTATCACCCCATTTTTTGGGTAAAATATAAAAGACGGGGTCACGTCAGTAAATAGACACCAAACATGTCAAGCCTTGAAAGTGCGTGCGCCCGCGAAATTGCAGAAAATGACCACACCCAAAATCGGCCATAGGCAACTCTTTAAAAGCTTTTGCTGCTCATCAGTTAAGTGTTATCAGTGATTGATGGCCCTACAATTATTGCGCTCACTCCGACGTTCGCGGCGATATGTAACATGCGCGGCAGGGGAAATTTTGTGTTATTATACATTTTTTTTTATTTGTGACTTTTTTTTTTAGCCTATTTTTTTTTTTTTACACCTAACTTTATTGCCATCACATAGGGGGGTAAGAATCAGGAGAGGAGATCAAAGGGAGATTGTGTACTGACTTTTGATCTCCAGTAACAGAGTCGCCGTGGCGGTCCCAGCTGCACTGAGCACTGCGGATCTCGGGACCGGCAGCAGCCGATCGCTTGAATGTAAACAGCCATCGCCGGCTGTTTACATTGCTGACAGTTTCCACACTCGTGTGCGTGCTGAGCGCCGCACACGAGCGGGGGGAGCGGAAGGACGTCTTAAGATGCCCTCCTGCTCCTACAAGGCTGCCTTCCGGCCATTCAGGAACGGCCATGGACAGCAAGTGGTTAACTTTGACACTCCACAGGGACAATAAAAAAAACCCCATAAAAACACAACACCACACGTGCGGTTCCCCCGACAATTCATACCAGACCCTTTAGCTCTGATAGAAATGTTAACACCTTCATGACAGCTTGTTTTTAGTTTCTGTTCGTAAATGACTGACACGCTTTTGACATTTTTACTGTGTGATTCTTCCATGTCAGTAATATACTTTCTTACAAAGTGCACCCACACATACACTATATTGACAAAAGTATTGGGATGCCGGCCTTCACACGTACATGAACTTTAATGGCATCCCAGTCTTAGTGCGTAGGGTTCAATATTGAGTGGGCCCACCCTCTGCAGCTAAAACAGCTTCAACTTTTCTGGGAAGGCATCCACATGGTTTAGGAGTGTGTCTATGGGAATATTTGACCATTCTTCCAGAAGCGCATTTGTGAGGTCAGGTACGTGTGTTGGATGAGAAGGCCTTGCTCGCAGTCTCCGCTCTAATTCATCCCTAAGGTGTTCTATAGGGTTGTTGTCAGGACTCTGTGCAGGCCAGTCAAGTTCCTCCACCCCAAACTCGCTCATCCATGTCTTTATGGACCTTGCTTTGTGCACTGGTGAACAGTCATGTTGGAACAGGAAGGGGCCATCCCCAAACTGTTGCCACAAAGTTAGGAGGATGAAATTGTCCAAAATGTCTTGGTATGCTGATGCCTTAAGAGTTCCCTTCACTGGAACTATGGGGCCAAACCCAACCTCTGAAAAACAACCCCACACCATAATCCCCACTCTGCCAAACTTTACACTATGCAGTCAGGCAAGTACCGTTCTCCTGGCAACCGCCAAACCCAGACACGTCCATCGGATTGCCAGACAGAGAAGCGCGATTCGTCACTCCAGAGAACACGTCTCCATCTCTCTAGAGTCCAGTGGTGGCGTGCTTCACAACACTGCATCCGACGCTTTGCATTGCACCAGGTGATGTAAGGCTTGGATGCAAGTGCTCGGCCATGGAAACCCATTCCATGAACCTCTACGCATGAAGTTTGGAGGTCTGTAGCTATTGACTCTGCAGGCAGTTGGCAACATCTGCACACTGTGCACTTCACGCTCTGTCATTTTATGTGGCCTACCACTTCGTGGCTGAGTTGCTGTTGTTCCCAGTTGCTTCTACTTTGTTATAATACCACTAACAGTTGACCATGGAATATTGAGTAGCAAGGACATTTCACGGAACACCTGAATCCAATGATTTGGAGGGGTGTCCCAATACTTTTGGCAACATAGTGTATTATATTGTTTTTTAGAGGACAGATAGATACCCATACAGTATGTGATATAAATAAATAGCCCTAACACCTCACTTAGGACAAATAAAATATTTAAAAAAATAAAAAGTGGGTTCCCCCCTCTAAAAATCACATACCAGATCCTTAATCCAGGCAGTAGCCTGGCAGAGCAGGAAAGGAGAGGGGGGGGGGGGGCAGGGGCCCCCTCCCCCCTTCAACATACCAGGGCACATGACCTCGGCATTGGAAGGGAGGACCCTTGAAAATCAGCACAGGAGCTGACCTAATAAGATAACTTTCTCTCTCAGGTCTGCTCCTCTGCTGATTGACATCAGGCAGTGGGCGGAGCATTAGCCAGCCTGCTATTGGCCATTTCAATTTTAAATAGCCAATAGCAGGGCTTTGTTTATTTGTGCCTACTGCCAGATGTAGACATTGCATCAGGGAGTTTTTTTTTTTTCATTTGTTGGCCGACGCTGAAATGACTTTGTGGAACTTTTTTTTTTAAATAAAGGACTTGTCAAAATGTTTTTATTTGTATTTTGGTTGAAATAAATTATTATTTTTTCTAAGGTGTTGTGCGTTTATTTACATTTTACCTCTAAGTTAAATTACCTCTATTTTCTTTAGGACATCTACGTTGGCATCAGCCTTTTTTACTTCAGCTTTTTTCACACCTGGAAACAAAAAACAGTGGTGTAAACATTAAAGACATGGATCTAATCTTTTCAAACATAATATATGCCCATGATGTGATATACGTGTGCTTTGTCCCTGATTCACGGTGTACGTACACTGCATCCAGTATGGTATTTAAACATCTGATATACAGTATAGTAAACAATGCTAGATTTTAAATTTGGCAATAGTGCTTCTAGAGCTTTCATTCTACATGGCTTATAGTGAGGCCTGGATTTATGTTCCTGGTGCCTGTAAGCACATGACCTTTGATGCCCAATGCACAGTACTCTACTAGATCACCACTATTACACAAAGCTTTATATTGCAGCATGCTAGTCTTTAGATGCATTCAGCTTTTCAGACGGAAAACATTTTTAGGAAGTACAGAAAATACCAGTTGACCCTGTCAGAAACACAGTGTACTTGAACTAAAAGCATAAACAAGGCCAGCCAACCAGACGGAGGGGGGTGCCACTGTACAACACCAGACTTATTGGAATCATTTGTTAGCAGGAGATCTACTGGAAAAGGACTTGCGTGGTTGATCTAGATGAATTGGGGGATAAGTATCTTAACATTGAGTTGAATGAGTCACCGCAATTAGTGAAAAGCATGAAACATCCTTCTATGTTTGCAATCTAGCCTTTTTCTTCCCTCCCTATGTAATGTGGTGTGATGATATAAAATACAGTTAGGTGGAAATTTGCTGGCCCCTGCCTTGGTTTTCCCAGAAAGCCCCCACTTGGGTGTTCTACTACGCGCTTCTCTCTCCCCCTCTATTCCCTGTTGTGGGTGCCCGAATGCTGCTGGTTGTCCACAGACTGTTAAGGCTCCTGAAGAAGCATAATTGCGAAGCGTGTTGAGCCTCTATACTGTATGAACAAGTAAATAGTATGAAAAAAAGACTGTATCTATCTTTGATAAGTATTTGTGATGTACAGAATCTAGATCATGTGACATGATTGTAACTCAATAAAGGTGGACAGACACTATTTTAAATTGAAAGTATTTTAACAGAACAACCTTTCCTGCCCTGCCAGGTTGCTGCCCGGATTAAGGGTATGGTAAGGGATTTTAGAGGGACCCCAGGTTTTTTGTTTTTTTTTGCCGTTGGGGTTCCACTTAAAATTCCTACCAGACCAAAAGGGTCTGGTATTATTTGTCGGGGAAACTGCACGCTGTTTTGTTTTTTTTTATCCCTGGTGAGTATCAGGAATTAAAAAGAAACAAAGCAAACATTTAGAGGGTTATTCACAGAACGGTCCGCAATCCCCTCCGAGCCGCCAGTGTCCACGAGGTTGCAGCGGCCGTCGAGCTGCAACCTTGTGGACACTGGCAGCTCGGAGGTGATTGCGGACTTTGCTCTTGTGGCTCCCCAGGTTTGGGGTCTCTTTTGATAACCTTTAGCTTTTGACGGTGTCTGCTTATTACCCTCTCCCCACCATCTATTGGGCGGTCCTCTCTGTCCTTGGGCATGCTTGGGCCCTTGCTCTGCTGGTCTGGCCAGGCGCGGTCTCTATATCCTAAGGAAGCGCTTGGAGCATGAAACGTGTTGAGAGAGAATCACCATTCTTGCTGTAAGAAGAGGCATCTGTACACGAGTACGTTATATCAATTATGTTTGTCATGGCCATCCAGCCTCACATTATAACTCTGGAATGGTTATTTGGAGATCAATCTGTTTTTCTGTTTTGTAATGTGCACGTATCAATTATGTTTTGAAACATCTTTTAACCGTTGTATAATACAATACTCTTGTTTTATCATGTGGTAATTTTTGTTTTTTGTCACTTAGTACCTAAAAAGCCACACTTTTTTTTTTGACTTGATACATTAGGGGTGTGGTACCTTTTTCAGAACCTGGTCACGCTTATTTGACCTAACTGGGTTGTTCACTCGGCTGCCTCCGGTAGCTTTGTGAATAACCCCCTTAATGTCACTTTTCTGCAACGCATGTTCATTCATAATCATATTACTCATCCGAAATTTATGAAAATTTGAATTCATCTGAATCCGAATGCCAAAAAAAAAAATTGACTTTCAGACCCGAATCCCGAAAAATTAAATAACGAAACATCCGAAACTAAACAAATATTTCCCGGCTTACATGTCTACCCATCACTAAATTTATCTTGTGATCACTTATGTTGTGGCCTCTGCTGCAGAAGCGGTCTGCTACAGAATATTTGTTTTGTTGGTTATTAAAAATCTGTGGCTATTCATCCATTGACAAAGGGCTTTACCCCTATATCCAGTATAGATCATATTTTCAGTTTTGGGTAGAAGTTGTCATGTTTTACTACCAGAGGAGGTTCTGCTGGATCGATTCCTTCACTTCCTCTCTGGTAAAAAGTCTCCAGGACAGGAAGTGAGGAGGGGAAATCTCTAACAGCAACACAAACTAGAGTAAAACATTTTTAAGTTATATAGGAGAATGAACCTTGGTCAGCTTTTTATTGTTGTCAGTTGCTGATTTTTACTCACTGCCTGTTGCAGATTTTTACCCACTTCCTGTCTGGTAAACTGTAGTCCCCAGAACAGAAAGGGAGGGGGAATATCCCTAACAGAGCCCACAACAGCAGTAAAACCTGACAGGGGTTCTAACACTATTCAAAACTAGTTATGGGTATTGCTATGCTTTAAGGATCTGCTGCAAAAAGCATTGTGTACTTCTGCTGTGATCCTGGTAATCTACTATTGCTACTGATGGGGGAAATTAATTGCATGAAATCTATACAGAGAAAAAGCTGCCTTAAGGGCCTGTTCACATGATATTCATGTCCGGATCAGGTGCGGATCTGCAGATGCGGTGCTACTCATGCAGTGCATTTGATGCGTTTTCGGTCCGGATGCTGACAGTTCATTTATTTTATTTTTTTCAAGCAGTGGGGCTGTCAGTATGCAGATTCTTCCTCTGAGGTCACTTCCGCCCTCTCGTAACATCTACTTCCCTTTGTGTATGCAAAGCTGGTGATCAGACATGTATCACATGTTTGCAGGCATGTTGATGGAGCTGGCTACAGTAATCTGCAGCTTACAGCTCGGCAGGAGACGTCGTTATTGGGTACACCCGATCTTGAGGCTCCTGGACTCCCAGGGTCAGTTCTAGAGTTTATATGAGGATTTGCGAGCTCACCCGGATAAATGTTTTTCCTTTACTCGTATGTCCATGGAAAGGTAATGGGCATGTTCAAAATGTTTGCAGTTCATGTCTTAACCTCTACCCCACCCTGATGGTTTTCCCTCGGATGCTCGTCCACAACCAGGAAGTCCAACGATGATGACATCATAAAAAGTGGAGCAAGAATAATTTTTTTACATTTTTTTTTGCTTAGCTGCATTGCGTTCCATTTGTGTTGCGTTCTTGCTGTGTTTTTGACGTGTTTGTGTGTTTCCTGACCGGACAAAATGTGACATGCAGTATTTTTTTCAGTCAGGAACGGAACGGACTGCGCATGTGAGAACTGTAGTCCATAAAACACATAGGGATACATTGGGATGCATATTTAGTGCAGGAGTGTATGGATCAGGTGAGCACAGAATACGGACGTCGTGTGAACAGGACCTTAGGCATAGGACCGCTGTGCTTTATAGCAAATCCAGGCATGCTTGTATTGTGTATATACAGTATTATCTGTCTCTGAATCTGAAGTGCAGCCACGCACTTTAGATGCTGTAATGTGAGTATCGACCAGCTCCAGCATTATAAAAGTGGCCAAACGAGGAATAATGGGAGTGCAGCTTCAGAAGAGGATCACATGTATGCATAAACTGATATTTTAAAAAAAGATAAAAAGGATTTCACATTTCAAATAAGTGACGGTTGAGCTACCTGCACATAGTTTTTGAGTGACTTAAGTTCAGCTTTTCCTATGTGCAAGTTTTGTAAATATAGCCTGTCCATAGCACAGATCAGGTTTTATAGTTTAGCCTTGGATTCATAGATCTATTTATAGATAGACCTATTATCATGGTCAACCATATATTGGTACATGTATTTACTATATTATAAAGGGAATGTAGATTTGTCATTATACTTTTTTTTTTTAAATCTTTTAAATGTATATAGAAGCCCCCTATGCATTGCTCCCTCCTGCAGGTCTCATTATATTGGGAGCTGCACTTTTAGAATGAAGGTGAGAATCGTGGATTACTAAGCAGAGAGGTCACACAAGAACAAGGCTTTCCACTTAAACCAAAATCCCTCTTAACAGTGCCACAGAAACCAGAATGCCTCTTCGAATAGTACCACAAGGTTTTTTTTTGGCAACCTCAAAATGTCACCAACATCATACAAATAGATTTGCAATACATTGCTTTTTAGTTAACTATTCTACCACTCCAGGCACATAAATTGGTTACGAAAGCAATGACTATTATTACGTTTCTTGGGCTTCCTCTTGACTGCTTTCATCTCCTTTGGAAGTGTTCGCCAATCTGCCATTTAAAAGAACAAGAGAAAAGAGTTGGTCATGAGGCATCATGGGTAGAACTGGGAGTAAAAAAATGTAGCCAGATGCCTTCTGTCATTTTTTTAAATTACAAGTTAGGAAGTGCAAGCTGGCACCAGATTGAAAGCAATACCTTTTTCGTGTGGATCACTGGCTTCTTTCAAGTGTTCCATCAGTGTGTACATGTATTACTGGTTGTATTGCTTAGAAGAATACCTTTAAATAACTAATATCACCTTGCCACTGCTGTACACCAGGGGGGGCCACCATCTGGTGCCTACTCACGTGCAGGAGGATGGTTGCCTTCCCTGAGTGATGGAAGGGAACCTTGGCCAGAAATGGGGGGGGGGTCCGATAGGGAATCCCTGTAGGCACTGCAGCAGGTAAGCCTGGAGTAGGTCCCAATGCCTAGCAGGGTAAGGCTCAGCCCAAAGGCAAACAAACATGAGCCCTAAAAATAACAAACATTACGATGTCCCTGTGTAGCCGGCGGAAACACAAAAAAACTGACTTGGGATGGAAGGAGGAGTCTATTTATTTAATGTGGTTGATGTGTTTCCTGTTGCAGGCAGGCGGAGCCTATATCTCGATGGCTGTCCTGGAAGATGACTGGGGAAAACATTTTATTATGATGTACTGTTTTTACCTAAACCTTTAAATTTATCTTGACAGGCAAATGCATTTCTCCTATACCATTTGTCCATTGGAGTGAAGAGCAAAAGCCCTTTGTAAGCTCAAAGTTACTCTAGTCATTGCTGGAGTCTGGTCAGTAGTCACTCAGACACATAGCGCTGCATTGTGTAAGGGTTGAGTCACATGATTCCCATAACAAAACATACTGAGTATGTCTCCTTGCTCCAGGCAACTAAACTGAATGTGAGGGGAGTAAAGTCCAGATTAGTAAATTGGGGAGTATGAGCATTCTTGCTTTTGGGTCAGTGACTAAACAAGTAGAGAAAGTAGAATCAGATCGACGAGCATATAGCCTGCTCCTTTGGAAGATCTCAGCAGTTACTACTACTAATGCCCATTCAAGTCCTGGCTTTTACCTGGCTCGATTCCTACTGGTCACCAGTACGTGGCTCTATTTTGACCATGTCCTCTATTATTCAGAAGCTAAACCTTGTTGGAGGCTTAAGAACCTCTACTCACGTTCAGTATTTTGGGAGCTTTTTTAGTCTGCTCTGGCCTTCATGATCTGTTTTGCTTAGGATTCTGACATGCCTACTAACTAGTCTTAGTGGGAAGGAAGACTAGAGTGGGAAAAACAATCTGGTGTAAACAAAAGCCCACCAACACAGGCCCTTACACTGTTTCAAACCAGGTCAGTGGTGACAGTTCCCATATTTCTGTCCTCACAGGTTATTGAAAGATACACTGTCACCTTTTCCCTGCTTCAGTGTAATAACAAACCTCCTCCCAGTACCTGCACCAATGCTCATTTAATTTCTAGAGTGGCTTGAGACTCCAGAAACCAGGATTGTTTAATTATGCTTACAGACTAACATGAGGTGCTATAGACTTTCAGTTAACGTACCCCTTGTCTCTATACTGGTTAGGAAGTAGGATGAGTGGTCTAAAAGGCCTAGAGAGTGGAGCAGGAAGGAAGAGAGTAGAGCAGGAAGGGACAGACTACAGCATGAACAGGTTAACTCTGATCATCCTTTAGTTCAACGGGTCAACCTGGCACAGATGTAAGCACTGAAAACGGTCTTTGGTATCCCGATTTTAAAGTCCACATGTTTTCTCTAGAAGGAAATGGATAATGAACATTTACCTGGCACCCAATCCTCATGAAGCTTCCTTTCTGCTTCCACTTCATATTTTGTGATATACTTTTCAATGCCTGCAATGACAAAGCAAAAGCCAGATAACATTTGGAAAAGGTTTGGCCAAAAGGGTTATGAAAAGGTATTAACCATTGGAAAGTATAAATACTGTGCTCTGTTCAAATAAGACATTGAAACCAAATGGGAAATGTTTAATTTACTTTGGCCAAATACTGTTAAACAGAGCAGGCAGGGAGGTGGGGATGAGTCGGTCATTTCGCTGCCTGTATAAAGTGAAAGTGACACTTGAGTTACTGAGCTCTATAAAGAGAGCAGGCAAGAATAGACAGGTAAACATTAACGCGAGTCTACAGCTTTACCTGCTCTCTGGAAATTAATACATACAAATATTAATTAGCAAGATCTCATTATTTACCGGACTGTTTAAAAAAAAAAACACACATTTTGCTTCAGTCCTGACCAGACTATGGACAAAATATATACCAAATAGGAGAGAATACCATACTTTGCTTCTCAACTCCTTTTCTTATATAATACGGCAGTCTTTTCATGTTTCCTCGTAGTTCTCGTTTTAGTGCTAGTAAATAATCCTGCTCTTCTCCTTCTAGTAGAGAAGCAGCCTTGTAATCTATATTCTGAGAAAAGAATCGGGAACAAAGCAAAATGTAACACTGATAACACAAGACTGACCAAATGAGTATGCAGTAGTTAGAATGTGAAGGTATATACTCCTGGAGCATTACAAGTTATTAAAGTAACTGAACCTGTATCCTTTTAAAACCTCAAATTTAGACATGTCTAAAAGCAATTCATGATGCCTAAATTTTGGTCATCGAAAAACAGATGACCCCATTTAATGACAGAACTAGTTTTGTTAAAATCACTCTGTACACTCTTCTCTGTTACATTTGCTTTTCTGTTCATTACAGTTATCTATAGATACAAATGCCTTAAAAGTTTTTCAGAATGCACTTACGGGGAATAGGGGCAAAGGCTGTGCTTGAGTCTCGGGAAGAGCTTCACCTCTGGAGAAACCAATGGCTTGTAGGTCAAATGTAAAGGAAGCCCCTCTTCCTCTTCCCCTACCTGCCATTTCTATGGTGAAAACATAGTGAAAAAAAAACATACAGTCATTTATGGAAAAATTATTTCTGGCTATCAACACAAACCTTGGTTGGTATTCTGTACAACACAAATATGTGAATTAATTTTTTTTACAATGTAACCAAATAAATGACCATGCGTGGAGACTACAACGTGCAGGTAACGATTAACAGTAAATGCAAAACCCGACTCAAAGGTCGTTGCAGTGCATTGCAGAAAAAAAAAGCAGACCTGAAGTCACAATTGGTCACCGCAATGCAATACAGCGGTGGTACATTAACTTTAACAGAGTGTAATTTTTTGACACTTAAATACAGTTTTTTTTTTTTTAAAGTAGAGTGTGATGTACTAAAAAAAGTGCAAGTTTGGGTGAACTTGGTTTCCACCAAACCCATGTACATCCCTAGTCAAATTATTACTGTATATGGGTGGGAGGAACAGATTCCAGAAGAGAGTGCACCCACAATTCGCAGAGGATAGCGGTAGTCAATGGAGAAGCTTTAAATGGTTGTCAGTAGGGGCAGTGTTAAAATAATTACAAATCATGGTGAGTCCTTATAATGTTAATGAAAAAAAGAAAAAGTTATTTGATGCAAAAATATAAAGAATATTGATGGCAGGAGGAAACAGCAGCCACTCCTATGATGTATGTAACCAAATAAGTGTCAAGTAGTGATTAGTAGATCATCCTTCTTTCCTATAATGAACACCTCTGCATGGAGGACATAATACATATGATATCCATTAGGACAGAGCCAGTAGAAAACTGAAGCTTGCATCAGTATAAACCTAGAATGGGGCAAAATGCTAGAGTTTAATGATTAAGGGGCCATTTAGATCCATGCATGTGTGTAAAGCCATGTTTTTTTAGTGTTAGACAGGTGTGTTATGCCTCAACCTGCATTTCCCTCATACAGACATTCATTTTGATGCATGTAGAATTTGGACTATATAGGATTAGCAGCCAATGACCAAAGCTTGCTAATAGCTGTCGCCAACCAGAGATGAGCCTAGGCTTGGTTTCAACCCAATTTGTCAAAGCCCATTAAAAACTGTTGCGTCCGCACCGCCTGCACCGGCGGTAGTTCCGCCACTGGTGACAGGCACTCCCCACTCCTGACCAAGTCTGCAGCAGCAGTTGCAATGGGGCATTCCCAGCCCCTGTGTCATATAGCTGCAGGGCAAGGAATGCTCTTCTCCGCAACTGATTGAGCCAGGAAGGGAGGGGGGTTGTTTAGCCACAGTGTAAAGTGAGCTTGGGGGAAGTGGGTTTAAACCAAGGTCAGGCTCATTACTATTGTCAATGCATCAAACCGCACATTGTATGCATTTTGATGTGTTGTCATTGATTTCTATGGGCCTGCCATACACTAAAATGCTGACACACACAAAAAAAAAAAAAAAAAGGAGACATGTCTTTTTAAAAATATGCGGCACTGAGATGGGAATAGGTACTATCTTTATTATGGGGAACCACAACTTTTGGTCCCTTCCTGTCTGTATATACTGAAAATGCATTTTTATAGTAATGTCTGAAGGAACTTCACTTTTCCCAAAATGTACTTTCCACGTTGGTTTGATATCTTTAGTCTTTGTAGTACAATACATGTTTATAAAGCAACAGATACAAGGGCAGAATCACAATCTGTAGGGTTACATATTTATAAATCACTTTATAAAATATTATATAGAAATATCACTTACTATCAGCCCAAGTTGGCTTACAAAGAAATACACCATAAGCTTTTCAAAGGAGATCTGCAGCTCTGGGTGGAATCACAGGCCTTAAATACCAACAGGTGAGCTCATCTGGGCACGTGAGTATAACTACAGATAGCATAGCTGGTGTGTGGAAAGTGGAGCAAAGAAAGCTGGAGCTGCCACTGACTTTGCTTCATTTTTCCAGTAAATTGATAATGAAATGGTTTGCTTCTCTGTGCGGCTGATCCCCTAAAGCCGCTTCCTTTTCTGCTCTGCTGATTGTTGCAAGCACCCGATGTCATCATGTACAATACAGGACCAGCAGTCCTGCATTGTAAGTGATGACACCGAGGGCTCTACTACAACCCAGAGAGAAGAGAGCTGGCTGAAGGTAAGTAAAACTTCTTTTTAAAGTTTCCCTAGACAAAAATTAGCATTTAAGTGTAATACATAGGGGTATATTTTTAAAAATTCACAGAGCTATTCATCCTGTGAAACTGCATGTATGTTCATCCTGTGCAAAATGGTGGCAAAAATTAATATTGTAGAGCCAAATGAAATCTCGCCATTCAAATTCCTTAGCTGCCATCAGGACTCCCCAGGTGCTGGTCTAATAGGTGTGTCTCCACCTTGGAATGTAGTAGTATATGAACAGACAACACTAGCCAGAGAATTCCAAAACTTCAGCACCGCAACCCCCCAACCAGCTACAACCTCTCACGTGTTTCACCCGTAGGCTTGTTCAGAGAGGGCTTATTCAATAGTAGATAAGGTAAGTAAATCCTCCTTTTTACAGTTTCCCTAGACAAAAATCAGCATTTTTAAGTGCAACATCTAATGGCATATTTTTAAAGATTCACAGAGCTATTCATCCTGTAAAACTGCATGTATATGTGTCCTTTGCAAATAGTGGAACTCAAAAATAAATATTAGTATATTTCCTTTCCAGGTGTAATATGAAGAAAATACAGCATTTTGGCCATTATGATCTTCGGCTCCGTCTAGTAGCCATATTGCAGTATTTTCCTGATATTACATTTAACCTGATATTCGCACAGGGCATATGTAAATGCAGTTTTGCAGGACAAATGGTTCATGGTGTAAAGGTGGCCTTAGTGTTTGCGCTTGGGCCTGGCAAAAGGATTGCCCAGTATTAAGAGCTAGATTGTGGGCTGAGGAGGAAGTGCCTACTGTTTCCATGCTCCAAAATCCCAATGTTTGGAGAACCTAAGACGCGCTGGTGGGTCAATTGGCTACTGTGCAGTGTCGTACTCATCTTGTTATGGCTAGTAACAATACAGGTCCTCTTTTAAAGGAAACCTGTAAAAATATGTGAGCTGCTAATGCTGAAGCAGGTGGTATGGGTCACACACATACTCATTTTAAGTGGATTTAAAGTCTCACAATAAAACATTTGTTAGTCCCTGTTCACACCGGTACAAGTTGAATCTCTTTGGCCAACGTACAACAATGCATGAAAAAAGGAATTCCATTATTTTTCAATGAGGCTCGTTCATTCCTATGCAATGTGCTTCAGTGTGACTTGGAAAATGGTGCAGGGGATTCTTCTGGTGCATTTTTAGCCTCATAGACCTCAATGGGAGTGCATGAAAAACAGATGTAACATGCATTTTCATGTGTTTTAGCGCATGACAACAAGTCCCCCACATCCTAGCAACCTATACTATATTTCACCTTTTATTGGTCAAAACAAAAACACATGACACATGAAAATGCATGGAAAAACGGGTAGAAAAAATTTCCTAATAAATCCATGAAAATATAGAAACACAAGTATGCAGAGACTCGGGGTGTGTTAGCAGTCACAGTGCCTTGCCCTGCTTACCATTTTTGTGTTTTGTTAGAACTTTATTGAAAGCTCACACGTTCCATGGGCACAGTGCAGTGCATACAGTCCTTTTTTTTTTTTTTAGATTGCACACCACCGCAATGCAGCAGCGTGAACTGTACCCATCACGTGTCAAACCAAATTGGTGTGAGACATGCAAAGTCTCTTTTGCTAGAAAAAAAGTTTTCTGCACATTCCTAGCTTTTAAAAAACATTTTCTATGTATACAGCGCAAGGCATGCACCGTGCACTGAATAATCCTGGCTCCTTCTTGTTACTTGTAAGATGCTGAGAATGAAGCAAGGGTTTGATGTAACTTGTCCGCGTGAGCAGATGTTACATTCTCATTGGCTCAAGAGAAAGCAGCACCGGACCCAAAAAGATGGGGGTGGAGTGAATACTATCAGGGTTATTCACTAAAGGGTGAAGAGTTTGGAGAAGGCGGGAGAAATGAACAATCTAGGACAACATGGCTGAATTGGAGAATTTTTCCACATCAGCTACTTTGTCCTAGATTGTTAATTTCTCCCGCCTTCTCCAAACTCTTCACCCTTTAGTGAATAACCCTGTATGTGTCTGGACTTGTCATCACTGGAGGGTGACTAGGTGGTGTGTGTTCCAAAAACTTTTGAGTATACGGTAACGTATATACACTTGCAAACATTATAGAAGAGAACCCCCCGCCCCACACACACACCCAGCAGACTTTAGTTCTGCTTTGAATGCTGTGTTAAATTGTTTGTCTAGTGTATATTTTCAAGGTCTGCTGCATGTTATACTACAGTATATTTTAGTTCCATGAAGCTACTGTGTGATTGTGTTTCTATGGATACAGGGAATTCCATTTGGTTTATATTTTATTTATAATGTGTTTCTTACCTTACACCCACGATAACAATTAACCTTTTATTATGTTGTGTATGTGTGTTGCAAGCACAAGAAAACAGTGCAATGCTTTGATGATGCAACTTAGTAACAGGTCCACTTGACAGGCAGCTTTTCTACCTGCTGAGCCTTCCTTTCCTTGCACTCCCTCACTGCTCAATTCCCCAGCCTGGACAGAGTGAAATACAATACTTTGGGGTATGTGGGATTGTAGAGGAGCCTTATTAGGTATTATTATTATTACTATTTCTTATTATACAGAATTGATATAGTTCCAACAGTTTGCGCAGCGCTTTACAATGGAAGATATTACAATCACAATACAATTCAAGACAGGATGGTAAGGAGGGCCCTGCCCTGTATCCCCATTCATGTGTCCGTCCACTTTTTTTTCTTCCATCTTGTGAACAGTCTATGGGACATGTGTCCATTTACATGAGATTATCCCCGATCCGGAACAATCAGGTCCATCGAAACGGACCACTGTTCCCATTGTTCTTCCGGCC